AAAATAAAATACAATAAATATACAAATAAAAAGAAATCGACCAACATGAAGGGCCTATACAGAGTTTATAGAGCCCCTCATGGCAAAGCAAATATGTCTGACACAACAGTGCATTCAGACCATTATTCTGCTTGCTAAAGCTGCCGGACAGGACACATTTAAAAAAAAAAGAAAAAAGAAAAAAAAAATCTAAGTACTCTAGATGGGAAAGCTCTCCTAATTTATTGCTTAAGTATTTCTATTTTAGTGAATAAAATAACTGAAAAACCATCTGGATATATAATGAGAAGTAATTAACTTCTGAGGAGGGTTCTTTGCCTTCAAGTAACCTCAGCTGACATTTCACATGAGAGTTTAACAAAGAAGTACTTTGTAGTTTGTTTAGTCCTGCATTCTCATTTGGAATGAATTTCTTATTTGTCAATGGCAAGAAGCTATCATGAACTTCTGAACCCAGATTACACTAACAAATGGTAGTAAGAGGTTCACTGTTTGTGTGACAGTGTGTGACTGTGTGTACACTCAGGGGTCACTTTATTAGATACACCTGCTTGTTAAGACAAATGAAGTTATGTGGCTGCAGCTGAATATATACAGGGCCATGAGATCCAGGTTACTGTGTGGCTGAGCATAAGAGCACCTGAGATTTGTGATGGAAGTGATTTCAAACAATATGATGTAAGACATGTCAGTTCCAGCATCTCAAAAACAGCCTCCCTGATTTTGTATAATTAGATTTTAGAGAGAATGGTGTACCTTTTAAAAAAACACCTTATTAGTCAAAGAAGTCAGATGAAAATGACTAGACTTGTTAAAGCTGACCATTTGGAAGCTGTAAGTAGAAAAATAACAGGTCAGTACAAAAGTGGTATGCAAAAAGGTGTCAGGATGTTGTGTAAGATGTTTTCTTGGTGTGGGCCAAAAAAGTTATACTCTCAGCCGGGTCCTGGAGGGTGCGTGGGAGTTTGCCCAAGCAGTCTACATGTACTTAGTGGACTTGGAGAAGGCATTCGACCGCGTCCCTCGGGGAGCCCTGTGGGGAGTGCTCCGATAGTATGGGGTGCCGGGCTGCCTTAGAAGGGCTGTTCAGTCCCTGTACAACCGGTGTTCGAGCCTGATCCGCATTGTCGGCAGTAAGTTGGACTTTTTTCCGGTGAGGGCCAGGGCTGCCCTTTGTCACCGATTCTGTTCATAACTTTTATAGACAGAATTTCTAGGCGCAGCCACGGCGTTGAGGGTGTCCGGTTTGGTGACCTCAGGATTAGGTCTCTGCTTTTTGCAGATGATGTTGTTCTGTTGGCCCAGGGTGGCTGGGCTCTTCCTTAGAGAAAAGGTTGAGGAGCCCGGCTGGCCTGGGAACGCCTCTGGATTCCCCAGGAGGAGCTGGATGAAGTGGCCAGGGAGAAGGAAGTCTAGGTTTCCCTGCTTAGTTTGCTGCCCCCGCGACCCAACCTGGAAAAGTGGTAGATGATTGATGGATGGATGGGCCAAAAAAGTTTTTTTTTTGGGAATACAGTAGCTGATCCCTGAGGGCGATGATTAATGAAATGCTGCAAGGGCAGGAGAAATTCAAGCCTGTAATCCTGACTCTCGCTTCATAATCCACACAGAGGTACCCTAAGAGAGTTCAGTGGACATGGAATGAAGTCACTCAAAATTAGCCATTTCAAAGTTTTTCTTGATATCAAAGCACTTTAATTAGAATGGCTTCTCTGTGGTCAGTAAAATTTTTAGTTTGTATTGAAGAATTTTATTTAGATTAGTTATTATGTGCCAGCACTGACCACCACAAGATCTAAAACAGTCATTTTCACAAGACTTTCTCACTGGCAAACTGCATTAACAAAGGACCCGGAGGCAAAGAATTTCAGACCAAACACAATGGGTTGTTATTAAATGACAATATGAAATGCCTGGAGGCCTTTAAAGACCAAGAACATGTAAGGTACTTGTTACAACTTGAACAGGGCTAAGACTAATTTGTCTGCCTGATGTTGGTCCTCATTGCATGAACATCAATACTGTAAATGTGTTATCTGTATTTTGGCATGTAGGAAATTGAAAATTGAAAAAAAACTTTAATTTCTCTCTTTGATTTGTTCTCAAATTTTAGTTCTGACCGGTAAGCCTCATTCATTGCTTGGTTTTCACACCAAGAATTACCCACCATACAAATTACCTACAAATGGGAAATTACAAATAATTACATAATTATTTGTAAGAGTAATATGACAAATTGAGTGAACGCATGTAATGGGCTTCCATGAAGGGATGTAGAGACATAAAACATCTCTGTTCCATTGTGTACCACTAAATATTTTTGCCAGCCAATGCAATTGGTTGCTCTTACGACAGATTCAAGTTCAAAAGCATGAAGGAATTGCAATGGGGTGCAGGTGAGGGGGGTCTGTTTGTGTAGGGGAGTAAATCAGACCCTGTCAAAAAAGGTTGGAATACCACTGTCTTACAAGATCCTGGCCTTTGTGCCATTACATCTGAAATCAGCAGCAACATTTACTTTTAACTCATTCACATTATACATTTTTGGCAAATTTGGCCATATTTGGGAGATTATTATAGCCATGCTTTCTTGCGCTATGCAAGCCATCTGTTTTGTGAGAATCTCGATTGGTTGTGTGGTGCATGTATTCCTGGGATGGTGCAAGAGCCTGCAGATCTATTTCCATGCCTGTTTGTCATGTGGGTGAGGTGGCCACAGGGTCTATTCAGCCGGCCTTCATGTATCCAGTAGTCCTGTTCACCAGTTAAGTACTAATGAGTGTTATTATTCACAGGTCTCTGTGTATAAGTGGCAGGAGATTGATTGTAATGCAGTGAGCTAATAGAAGCAGCTCTGACATAAGACTGTCCAGGGCAGTTCTGACACATGGTGTATTGTCTGCTTCTCTATGTGTGTCTTCTGCGCAGATGATGACAGCAGCAGCCAGGGGAAGGTGGAGAGCATGCTGGAGAGCTTGGGACGCAGTCTGCACCCAGAGCTCATGAAGGTATTATCTGTGGGGTGGGGAACTGGAATGGCAAACCAGTCCTGCAATCCAATATGTTGTTATGCATTAATATTTTAAAATTTATAACTAAATATGTATTTCATTGTTTATAATAAAAAACCACAATTATTTATTTGTCTGTGAAAGACTTTAAAATCACCAATATACAGAAGGCCTCATCTTATGTTGGTAGAGATAAGAGAGTTTAGCTGGAATATTAATGGTAATGGTTATGTACTAACTTTCACCTCTCGGATTATGGGTTTGAATCTGGATCCAGCCTCTATGACCATCATGCATGCTTCCTCTCAGTACCCACGTTTTTAGGCTGTGAATGAATATTTGTTTCTGTGCTGCATGCACTAATGCCATACCCATACCTGGACTTTGCATCAAGGGGTGGGTTCTGATAGGATGAAATGGATCAGAACATAAATAAAATAACTTATTAAAATAAAGCAAGTTCATTGGAACCCTTTAACTGAGCAATGGAAGGCAAGAGAGCCCATTAGAAATAGCATTGTCTTCCTGTTTTACTTAATCGCCATATTATTGCAACCAATGTATAGCCAGCTTTACTTCTGAAATACAAATGTTACTTCTCAGAATGAGTGTAAAACAGGCTGAGTCTAGTGACATTTCCTGGTTGCATAGTGAAGCTAATTTTCAGAGATACACTGAGAGCTGCTGTAAGGGGACAGTGGGTAATTCTGTTACTTCCAGCATGACTGCTGGATGTCAGGCCTTCCATGTGATTTTATTCTTGAAAAGAAGAGTTGGTCCTGTTTCCCCCAAAGAGATTCTATGAGGCGCTGTAGCTGCCCTTGTGTGACGATGTTAGGCCATCCTCTGAGGCCCTGTAATTTCTCTTGTGTGATGATGTTAGGCCATCCTCTGGTTCACTGTAACTGGTCTTGTGTGAGTGACAATGTTAGGCCATCCTGTGAGGCCCTGTAATTGCTCTTGTGTGACGATGTTAGGCCATCCTTTGAGGCCCTGTAATTGCTCTTGTGTGATGATGTTAGGCCATCCTCTGAGGCCCTGTAACTGCTCTTGTGTGATGATGTTAGGCCATCCTCTGGTTCATTGTAACTGCTCTTGTGTGAGTGACACTGTTAGGCCATCCTGTGAGGCCCTGTAACTGCTTTAGTGTGACGATGTTAGGCCATCCACTGCTTCACTGTAACTGCTCTTGTGTGGTGATGTTAGGCCATCCTCTGGTTCACTGTAAGTGCTCTTGTGTGATGATGTTAGGCCATCCTCTGGTTCACTGTAATTGCTCTTGTGTGATGAATAAGATGTATAGAGACAGGGCGCTACAGTGACTCACTTTGTGTGCATTTCCTCTGATCGCTCCACTTTGCACCCACATTCCAAGCAGATGTGGGTTAGGTGAAGGGCTAACTTCCATAGTCTGCATGCCTTGATCTTCTCCGCTTCCTGGGTTGGGCTCCAGGCTCATCTGGCCTTGGGTTTGATAAGTAAATATGGGAAATGTCCAGATTGATGTTAGGCAGCAAGTAATGTGGCATGATAGCGCTCAGAAAGGTTTCAAGGAAAATCCTGGACCATGTAGCTAAATCACTGTGCACTGCTTGCCATGTTAATATATCTCAAGTCAGAGTGCTTGGTGTTTTACTGTTGCTTTTTCAGTATGCAAGAGAAACAGACCAGCTGAATAAAATCAACAGAAACGAAGGCAGGCCCAAGCTGTTCATGCTGGACCCTGAAACACAGGTAACTACTTTTTCCTGACACTACATCTAAATGTACATAATTGTTTATGGTATTATTGTATGATTAATGTGTTTAAGTGTTATGTCCAGTACATGTTTCTTTATTTTGCTGTACTGATGGCGTGGTGACTGTGGGTAACACTGTTTCCTCACGCCTCCAGCATTGGGGGTTAAAAATCCAGCCCCCACTCTGTGTGTGGTCTCTCCACGTCTACCCAGGGTCTCACCAGCAGTCCAAAGCCATGCCATAATTAGGCTAATTGGAGACTCTTTATTGCCCATAATGAATTGTATGTGTGAAAGGGTGTTTGCATGTGTGTGCGTGTGTGTGTGAGCCCTGTGATGGACTGGTATCCCATACAGGGGGTACCCCAGCCTTGTGGCAGCCATTGGTTCCTTGAGAAAGGCCGTTAACCTGAGTTGCTCCTGGGACTGAGTGACCCTTTTTTCTGTGTTGCTTTGGATTAAAGCATCTGCTCAATAAGTAAAATGTATTTGTTTGAGGTTATGGTTTGAATTTGAGATTAGTGCAACTTTCATAACCTTACAAGTGTATAGATAGAATTTCTGCTACCTTAGAAAAAATAAAGGTTAAATAAAATTAAAATAAATTTCCCGCCTCTTCCCCCACAGAGATTGGACTTCTCCGGCATCGAGCCAGACGTGAAGCCGTTTGAGGAGCGAGTTGGCCACCGTATTGTGGTCACCTGTCATGACCTCACGTTTTCCCTGCAGTGCTCCCTCAACGAGAATGATGGTGGAGCCACAAATGTATGCCAGCTGCTGTGCTGGCAGCATAGATGACACCTGCACTAAATTATATATGTTTTATGTCCGTGTGACCGAAGTATAATATTCATTAAATTATATTAATTTAAAATTTAAAGGAATTGCTGAATCTGCTAAATAAAACAATGACATTCATATTAAAACAAAAACAGGAAAATAATGACATTTATATAAGAATTTTTTTTTGCAAGTTACACACTCTAGTATGTAGTATGTGTCTTGCATGTCTGGTTCATTTAGCATATCATGCATCTGGAGAATCCAGAGATGGTGTTAGAGTAGGGTCCAGTGTGTCCAGGGCTTCCAGGGCATTGCTGAATGGTAGTGCCATTTATTTCCTCCCTTTAAAGTATTGCACACTGTTTAGTATGTTTAGCAGTGTTTTAACCATGTCTTTTGAAGGATGCTATAGCCTTTTCAGTTTCCTACAGAAATAAATGAAAATATTAATTATGCTTTTCAAAGGGTCAGTGAGGCAATGCATTTTTCAGTGTTCTGCTTCCTGACACAGAGAGGTTGCTGATGCACAGAGAGGTTGCTGATGCACAGAGAGGTTGCTGATGCACAGAGAGGTTGCTGATGTTGCAGTTGGCCTTAGCCCAGTGATTTCTTTGCTTTTCGTAGAGCCACGCTGAAGCAGCTCACTAATGTTATCAAGGCTCTGGGGAGGTGGTGGCCCCCCATAACCCTTGCTGAAGCTGTGAAAAGCTTAATATTACTATATAATAATATATTTCCTGGCAATATATTTCCTTTGACACCGGTTAGTGATGCATCCTGCCAGGCTGGGGGAATCCCAGCTGTTTTCTAATGCCTTATAGTTTTGTTGTGGGGTGTATCAGTATGTGGAATAATTTAATGTACCTTGTTATAGTGTGAATCAGTATATAGAGCCAGATTTAATTATGATTTAAAAACATGTTGCAGATCTTCTAAGACCGTCTAAACTAGTGGTTCACAAATGACTGCATGCCACCATCATAACTGATGTATGATACCTTTGCGTACCATACAAAGAGTCAAAAAAATAATAGCAATGTTTTTTTAAATAAATAAATAACAGTTTGGAGACATAGGCTAGAAGGCTGAACTGAGAACCAGTTCATAAATCTTTATCTTGCTTTGTGTGTAGCCCCAGCCTGCTTCCCTGACAAAGAGGATAACTGGCGGTTAGTCACTGTCAGATATCCACATCGGGTAACTTGTACCAATAATCGTATCATATGGCCCAACCCTAATACAGAGGACTGTGTTGTAGTGTGTATCAGTATATAGAGTAATGTAAAGTTATGTGTTGTAGTCTGTATTAGTGCATGAGATTATGTACAGTACTGTGTTGTTAGAGGCAGTTTAATGTTCAGCCAAATAGTTACCTCAATATTAGTTTAAATACTAGAACTCGTGTCCATAAGTGGAAATTAGCGGGAGCACATTTTAAAATGGATTTGAGAAAACACTTCTTTACACAGTGTGTAGTTAGAGTATGGAATAGTCTTCCTGTTACTGTAGTGCAAGCTAAAACCTTGGGTTCAGAGCTAGATAAGATTTTAACAACTCTGAACAATTAGCTGAGTTCTCCCCAAACAAGCTTGATGGGCCGAATGGCCTCCTCTCGTTTGTAAATTTCTTATGTTCTTAAAATGCACGTGCCTGACAGGCTATGTTACCCCTCCCCACCCACAGGTAGAGCCATTCTTTGTCAGCCTGGCGCTGTTTGATGTCTCCAAGGGATGCAAGATCTCGGCTGACTTCCACGTGGACTTGAACCCCCCCTGTGTGCGTGAGATGCTGTCTGAGGGTTTGGTTCAGACCATCGTGGAGGCAGGCGCTGGGCACTGCAAGGACCTGCCCATCCTGCAGAGGGCATCAGAGGCATTGTTACGCTTTCCAACACAGGTGTGTACAGTACACCTTATTTGCACTGAGACCCTGATAGATGAAACACAGTGTCCCCTAATGGCCAGCAGTAGAACACTCATTCCTCCATTTACAAACATTTGGTATCTGAATTTTCCCATTAACTCAAACATGAGTAATTACCACCTGTCTGTTTCTGAACTCATGTTTGATTATCAATCAAAATAAATCAAATTTTATTTATAGAGCACATTTAAAAACAACAATATTGACCAAGTACAACACATAGATAAATAATAGTAATAAACTACAATAAATTATTCATTTGAAAGTGGCCCAAATCTGAGAAGAAAAGTTTTTAATTCTCTTCTCTTCACCATCATTTTTTATCTGATTATAAATTTAAATTGTTTGGTTGTTTATTTTTTTTGCTATGCTTAATTAATTTGCATAATACATTTTTAATGTCAAATACTTCTATAAAATGATTATACATTTCAAAATTATTATATCACTAGTTTTATGTGAATAATGCTCTTTTCAAAACACATAATTTAATGGTTGTGGATGTTTAGGTTTGTTATTGAGTGCACTTGTGTTGCTTTGGATCAGTTAGCAAATTATTCCCAAAAAGATATATTGGGAATAATGTTTCCAATTTGCACTTTTTCACCTTCTGAACTGAGATGGAGAGGGAGGGGCTTGACAAGGTGCTAACCAATCCATGTCCAAGGAGTTCTTTTAATGTAATTTCCTGTTTGTCATTTCAGCTTCTTCTTAGGCTTGGGTGGTATCAATTTTTTCATACTGTCATACTTTCTAGACATTTCACCTCGGTATATGACGGTATTTTTTTTTTCTTCAGTGAGGTTTTACTCACTGCTAACACTGTGCGCTACAATACATTGCCTCAATACAACATCTCAGTATTAGTTTAATCGAAAGAGGAATGTTTTTGATGTTACTAAAAATAATACCTTCAGGATTTGTAAATACTGCAGTTTCCCGTCATACCACCCAAGCCTATGCCTTTTCCCTCAATTTTAATACACTTACGGCCTTGTTTGTTTCAAGCAGGGTCAGCTGTAGACCGCACTGTGTCTCAGGTGTTACACAACAGCCCACCAAGCTGGTCACATGGTGCCTTTAACCGGGGACACAGACACTCATTTTTACAGAAATTATGAAAGGGACTAGGACTAAATTCAGAGTCTTCTCTAAAACATTTAGTACATGTAAAAAGAAGTATAAAACTTCTTATACTGTACGTTCTTTGACTGAGGTTTGTGCTTAGGAAATTCGGATTTTGACAGTAAGAAGTTGCCCTAGTGGTTGATAAACGGCTGTGCGGAGTCCTGTAGTTGGCCTTCTCTTCCCAGTGAAGGCAGTAATTAATCTGAGCTAGTTCAGAAAATGTTCAGCTGACTGCATGGTTCAAATTATATGCTGCATACACCGCTTTGTTGGAAAAAACAAACAGTGCTGGTCACTTAAAATACATGTGTGTGAGTGTAATGTTAGGGCTAAGTCTTCTTCTGGTACTGCCAGCATGAGCTTTAAGGGGGGAATGTGCCCAGATGGCGCGGGGCCACTCCTGGCAGTTCTCCCCGCATACCTGTCACTGGGCTCCCGTGTTCCTTGACGTGGCAGTCTGAAGCGAGCCTGGCACAGGGATGGGGGAATGCGAGCCCGGAGCTGGCGGAACGCATGGGTGGAGAAATCCTGCTCACTCTCCTGCCCGAGGTGTGACGGGATGGGGCTGTGCAGGGGCAACCCACCTGCTGTGACTTGTCAGGCTGTAGTGTGGGGATGGTGTAGTCCCCATAACTCTCTGAGGATAGCTTTTAGGTGGAGACAGAAACCTCAGGCTTCCGGGGTGTTGGTTAGTCACAGGAGTGTGCTGACATGTCCCCGGACACACTTATGGAGATGGAGCTGGCTGTGTAAAGACTTCCGGTAAACATCAGAGACTCTGAGCTGCCATGTGCAGACTGTGACTCTATACTGCCTCTTTTAAAGTCATCATAACACAGAGGAGAGCAGGCCGGTCACCACTGGTTCCAAATTATTCTCCTGCTTTTATTTCCTGTAGAGGTGATGTCACAAGCAGTGCCTGGCTATAGGAAGCACTCAGAACCAGGCAACCATATACATAGGGCTGTAGCTGCTTTTAATGGCTCATAAACTCACTTGGACTTGCCGTCCCATCCTCACACTCCCAGGGCATCTTCTCAGTGACTGACCCGCACCCCGACATCTTCCTAATGGCGCGCATTGAGAAGGTGCTGCAGAACAACATCGCCCACTGTGCTGAGCCTTACATGAAGACCTCTGACATGAGCAAGGTTTGTGTACACCGTGTCAGACAGACAGCTGCAGCTACGATTGGCTGCATGTATTTATTTTTGTGGTTTTGTTGCATATAGATAAGTAGATAAGTTTACATTGATAAACCTGTGTATTTCCTGTAGCCATCATTCACACATATAGCTTTATTTTGTCCATATTAATTAGTCTATATGTGGCATATAGGGATGTCGCCTATTGCCCCAGTATCTTGGACACATTGTTTAGCCTGTGTTTTCCAGTAGCTAAGCTACAGACAAATATAGTTAATTGTGTTGTTTGTTAGTTACATGTTAGCTTCTGCTTCTCCCCAGACTGCCCAGAAAGTCCTGAAGGCAGCCAAACAGACATGTCAGCGGCTGGGCCAGTACAGGATGCCTTTCGCCTGGGCAGCCAAGTAAGCACTCCTACATGCACCCTCCAGCTTCAGCCCTCAGTGAAGATGGACTGTGGTTTGATTTTTCTGTAGGGAATCAGCCAATTTTGACTGAGAGAGTATAGGGGTTAACACCATCAATGAATCTGCTAAAACAGCTTATGCAGATTTAAAAAAGGTTTAAAATACATCAGTCATGTGCTTACAAGTATTCCTGTGCTGCATCAATTTCTATAACAATTGTTCTATTCTATCAGGCATATTTGAAATTTAATTAAATTTAACAGGTAATTGTGAAAGAGTAGCAGCTTCCCTCAGATTACTGCCCAGGTTTATAATCGCTTGCTAAAGCAGATGTTCCCCAGTTCCCCATGGACTAAGGTACACATGCGTGATTTTCTCAGGTCACCACTAACTAAAGTACAAAAGTTTTAGCCTTATATATGCAAGCTTACCCCTGATTAAAGTACATGTGCTTTAACTGGGTCTATAGAAGTGTTTAACTGACTGTAGTACAGATGGTTTGACTAATTTGTCCCTCATATTACCACTAAGTGAAGTATGGAAGCTTTAACCAGGTGTACGCCAGTTTGCCCCTGACAGAAGTACAGTTGTTTTACTCAGTTGTTCCCCAGTTTGTCTCTAATGGAAGGACTGGTGCTTCAACTAGATACGTGTGAGTTTCCCACCTACTGAAGTACAGGTGCTTTGACCACACATTCTCTAAGCTACCGGAGCCTAGAGTACAGATTCTTTAGCCATCTGTTATCCAGCGATGCTTTAAGTCGGTCTTCCCCAGGTTATCACTGAGGCTTGATGTCCGGGTTGTTTGACAGGACGTTTGTGTTTCCCCATGACTCATCTGCTCTCTCAGTGGCTGCGTGACAGCTCCCCTTTACTCCAGGCAGGTGTTCAAGGACTCCAAGGGCAGTTTGGAAAAGGACGGAAAGTTCTCCTCCCTATACCGCCAGGATAGCAGTAAAATCTCCACTGAGGACCTCATTAAACTGCTGGTGGATATCAAGAAGTGAGTGAAGTGGGTTTCCATCTTTCACAGAGCATGAAGATCTGTAAGATTTAGTCTGGAAGGCTTTTATTTATACTTGCTTACTCGACCCTTGCTTAGTTAAATCTTATTTGTAATCCTTAATCCTCTGGGGTCGAGTGCATCATCGGCGATGCAGCATATTTTTTTGCGTCCATTTCAGTTTGTATCTCGCTTAAATCTTGATGTAGAATCATGAAAAAAACGCTAACTAAATCCGTAATCTGTCTTCTTTTCAAAACGTCCATTGTCAGAAGTATTAAAGTTTTTTTAAATTAGGTTAAATCGGCAAAAAAGTAAACCATGTCAACTTTCTTTGTTTTACCTGCATCGGGGGCGTGTGGTACTGCTGTCACCTTGAAGATCACTATTCGCATTCTAAATAACCACATTACTGCGTATTCAAATCACATTCGCATGGTAATTTCATGAACAGCGCAACAGTGAAACGCGATCCAGATACATCCCCATCAGCGCCTTAAAAGGGAGGGGATGTGGCCAGGTGTGAATAGCTCATGCATATACATAGCAGCTCCTACATATTCAATGGAAGGAGACCAGAAATAGTGAGTTAGGTTTTTCTTATTTATTTATCCAACTGAATGTTGCAACTACACCATTTAGTCATCTGTATGTATGCAAGACTTTGGTGATAAGATATCTGGGATCAAAACAAACTGTCACCATTGCTTACTATGTACTTTTATAATGTTTCTGCAAGTGTTCCAAACTGCATTTTGCAATGTCTATACTTTGACGTTAGATTACAAATTTAACATAAATCTGACATATTTACAATATACATTAAAATTAAGATGAGTGTAATGCCAAAACAAATATACAGTGCTGCTTGAAAGTTTGTGAACCCCTTGAGTAGTTTAGATTTTTCTGTTTTACCATGATTTTCTTATTTTATCATCACCAGTTTTTATATATGAAATATCAGGATTATATTCATCAATTCCATATACCTGTTTTAAGGGAACTGTGTAAGTAGCCAGCAGACTACATGAAACATTTAACCAGAGTATGTGCAAAAGTAATAGACTCAGGTGAAACATATGTGGGTGCTCAAGTAATCAATTAAGCAGACCAATCAAACGAGACATCGTTAGGAAAGGATTTGAGCAGCACTGATTAAAAGAGAGAGGAAACCAACCCAAACTACTGTCGTGCCAAGGCATAAAGTGCACAGATCAACAATGCCGAGAGGAAAGGAGACATCCGAGGACATCAAGAAGATGGTGGTAACAGCCCATCAAGGTGGGGAAGGCTACAAGAGATTCCAGCTCCATCCATCCACTGTAAGACAAATCATTTACAAATGGAGGGCACTCAGCATCACTGCAACTCTGCCCAGAAGTGGGCGGCTATCAAAACTTTCACCAGAAGCACCACAAAAATAAAAACAGGAAAAGGCCAACCCATATATCAGCTCCAGAGAGTTGCAGACCCCTCTGGCAGCATCTAGGATAAATGTACAGTTGCAAGAAAAAGTATGTGAACCCTTTGGAATTATATGGATTTCTGCACAAATTGGTCATAAAATGTCATCTGATCTTCCTCACAACAATAGATAAACACAATCTGCTCAAACTAATACCACGCAAATAATAATAATGTTTTCATGTTTTTATTGAACACACCATGTAAACATTAACAGTGCAGGTGGAAAAAGTATGTGAACCCCTAGGCTAATGACATCTCCAAGAGCTAATTGGAGTCAAGAGTCAGCCAACCTGGAGTTCAATCAATTTTTTGTGCAGAAATCCATATAATTCCAAAGGGTTCACATACTTTTTTTTGCAACTGTACATGCGTCTACAATCAGGCGAAAAATAAATGGATATTACATTCATGGGAGAGTTACTAGAATGAAGCCTCTGCTCTTAAGAAAGAACAAAGTTGCCCATTTAAACTTTGCCAGAGAGCACTTGGACAAAGCAGAAGCCTTCTGGAAGTCCATTCTCTGGACAGATGAGTCCAAAATTGAATTATTTGGCCATGTTTGGAATAATGCATATCAAGAAAAGAACCACCTCCCAACTCTTAAGCATGGTGGTGAAAATGTGAAGGTCTGGACCTGCTTTTCTGCCTCGGGACCTGGACGACTCCATATTATCCAGGGAATCTTGAATTCCCAGACCTATCAACAAATTTTTGAGCAGAATCTCCTGCCATCCGTCAGGGAGTTGAAGCTGGGAAGGAACAGACTATGCAACAAGACAACAATCCAAAGCATTCCAGCAAAACTGCCAAGGAATGGCTTAACAGAAAGAAGATTTGCACTCTGGATTGGCCCAGTCAAAGTCCGGACCTCAATACCATAGAAATGTTGTGGCAAGATCTGAAGCAGGCAGTACATGCCAGATGTCCCTCCAACCTCTCTCAACTAACTGAGTTTTGCAAGGAGGAGTGGGCAAACATCCCCAAAAAGCAGAAGTGAGACACTGGTTCATGGTTACAGAAGACGTTTGGTTGAAGTAATGGCTGCAAAAGGAGGTGCCACAAGCTACTAACCAACGCGATGTACATACTTTTGCACATACCAGATTTTCTGTTTTTTGAGTGAGAAATTACTTTCGTTGAATAATGGAAATATATCTCTTTTTTTTTCTGTGTATACCTTTTTTGCAAGGTCTGCTTTACAAATTGGGATTTAAATGTTCATTTCATAAGGTTGTTTAAATTTAATGACCATGTTTGGGGGGTTCACAAACTTTCAAGCAGCACTGTATAAGAAATAATTTATTTGCCATGAATTAAGTTTATGATATTGAATGAAATGTGTGACCATGCTCCAGTCAGTGAGAGTGTGTTCCCTACCCCAAGACCCCAGAGGGTTAATACAACCAGGTTAATGGTTGTATGGTTCATGTTTTTAGGTGTCATGCTAGCTCTTGACCTTCCCTGCTCTGATCTCCCCCTCCAGGCCGGAGAAGAGCAAGCTGCAGGTCATACCAGGGCAACTGAACATCACCATTGAGTGTGTCCCCCCCCAGTTCTCGAGTACGGCAAGCAGAGTGCCGCATGGGCTGTGCAAGCTGATGGGTTGCACCTCTCCTATCCTCTCATCATCATGATGTTCATCTCGGCTTGCTTTTTAATCGCTGTCCTCCTCGCCGCAGATTCAGTCACATCCAGCTACGTCCCGGTGCAGCCCTTCAAGGAGACTTGCACATGCGTCTCTGTGGAAATAGAGGAGTTTGTGCCCAATGAAGCTCGCTTCCACTGCCCCTTCACCGTCTACAGGAACAGCCTGTACGTCTACCCACTGCAGCTTAAATACGACAACCAGAAAGCTTTTGCTAAGGTATGAGAAATATATTTGGTAACATTTTACATTAAGTGCACCTTCATAATGCATTCATTATGCATTCATAGGACATTCAGTGCATCTTCATAATGCATTCATAGGACATTCATAAGCAGTATGCAAGTACACCTTAACATCCTAACAGCCCTTAACAGCTTTAATATACATTACATGATTATACAATTGTAATGTGTGTTATTATTATATAATGTTTGTTAGTAATGTATATTACAGCTGTTAAGTGATGTTAGGATGTTAAGGTATACGTACATGATGTTTATTAATGTTTTATGAATACTTAAGGAATACATTATAACGGTGTACTGAACACTTTTTGAATGCAAAAGCATTATGAAAGTGCTGTTAATGTAAAGCGTTACTAAATATTTTTAAATCTTGTTCTTATTAAGGGTCCAAAGCACATAGTGCTATGGAGCCTTATTGTTTTTGTTAGGATTTTTATTATAATTTTTCTTCCCTAAAACTGAATGCCCAGGCTATACCGTAAGACCTAGTTATTTCTTATATTTCTGTCTCTTGCCTTACACCTCTGGGACTTTGAGTGTGGAGTTTGCATGTTCTCGTTGTGTCTTCATGGGTTTCCCTCAGCAGTCCAAAAACATGCTAAGGTGAAATGGAGTTACCAAGTTGTCCTTAGGTGTGACTGTATGTGTGAATGGTGTGTATGCCCTGTGATGGGTTGGCGCCCCATCCTGGGTTGTTCCCTGCCTTGCGACCGTAGCTTCCAGGATAGGCCCTTCTGGACCCCCTGTGACCCTGCATAGGACAAGTGGATATAGAAGATGGATGGATGGAAGGTTTAAATACAGTCAATGGAGTGGGTGGCAAAGCATTTCACTGCACATTCGTTGAACCATGAGACTTCCTACAGCGGCTTTTATTTCATACGGATCTAAAATATATAGTGCTTCTGAAAGTCTACCTGTAGGGTCTGTGGGCTTACTACTGCATTTCAGCCTATGACACCTCATTCCTGGGCACTTTTGTGACAAACTTGTATTTTCCCTGCAGGCACGAAACATTGCGGTCTGTGTGCAATTCCGAGACTCAGACGACGAGGGCACCAGCCCCCTGAAGGTGAGGTTAACTATCATGCCTGACTTTGTTCTCTAGCATGGCCCAGAATGCAGCTCAGACTTAAAAATAGGAAATAAAACACCAACAAGGATAAAGACGGAGTTGAAGCTGGTGATTACAGCTGGCAGCAGGAGGTAATGAATGGTGTCCCTGTCTTCAGACTGCACTCATGCTGTAAGAATCACCCCAAATATTTGCGGGTGGAAACCTTCATAAAGCTGCACACAAGTTATTTTTTCCATGAGACAGAGCAAAAAAAAAACAACTGGAATTTTTGGGGGGCCCAGCATGGATGAGAGCAGCGCCAACCTCCCTTGTGCAGTTCTGTAGCCATCAGGGAAGCTGTGATACAGGAGGGTGGTTACCATAACACCCACACACTGGTACACAAACTTACCTATAGTACTCTGGGTGGAGTATCTCTGCAAATGTGCAATTTCATTAATAGATATTCCAGTATTATAACAATGGCAAAGTAACTAAATCTCTGCTCAGATTAAATCAGAGGAGGAAACTGCTGTTTTGCCTCAGTATTAGGTTGCTTAAATAAATATTCAGTCAATGGTATACAAAGTTATAATGCAAAGTAACGCTTGGCACAAACACTGGTAAATTACTTTTGTTTGAAGGATCAGTTCCCATAGTCGATGTTGTATTTCCTCCTTGGAAATGGAGCAGAGGTCAGATGCTATGAAGAGATTTGTAAAAAAAACTTTCTGGGATAACCTGATTTCAAGTGTTTCGATAATGTAGTATAAAAGATCTTCCTCTTGAAATTTACATTGTAAACTACAATAACTATGAAACTTCATAAAATCCATCAAGATAACATCATCGGCTGTACAAAATGTCACAGAGCAGAGTCAACTGCTACCTTTCAAGGACTGTTCTTTGGATTTCCACTGAGCCCACCACCCCAGGGCACACACAGTGACTATTTGCTTTGTACACAGAGCACCTTAAGACTCCTGACATTTCGGATTCAGACCCCTTGGCACCGTGGTGGAGCCAATGAATCATTTAATTAGACCTGTTACTCCACTAGTATCCATCCTTCCATCAATCTTTCTGTGACCCAGTACAGGGCCACAGGAGGAGACTAGATATTCTCTGCTTCACTACTACATCACCTCTTCTGTGACTTGTTTGAAAGTAATTGTAATTTGTGGTTCTATGACACAATGTGTGGTGTAATGTCTTGTTACGTATACGAAGGGTTTGTTTTTTAAGGTTTATTATTAGTTATCTTATCTTGGGGTGAAACAGTAGAATGGTTTTCATAAGCCGTGCTCTGTGACCAGCAACAGCTTGAATTCAGAGATCTCTGTTGTGTGTTTGTTTCCATGGAACAGTGTATCTACGGAAAGCCGGGGGAGCCACTTTTCACAGCGAGTGCTTTTGCCGCCGTTCTACATCACAACCAGAGCCCCGAGTTTTACGATGAGGTAAGCCATGATGAGGGATTTAATAATGAGGGATTTTTACAATGAGGTTTTACGCTGCTTTACTTCCTGTCCAGTGCCCCATGTGTCACACATGTCCTGAAGCTCCTCTCTCATTATTGTGAAACCTAGATGGTGCACACATACTGTATGGAGATAATTCATGAAGTAGCTGGGGATAATTGACAAAGTAGGATTCTGCATGTTTTAGACATTTCAGGGGCAGTGTTCTGGTTATTATTGGTTTGTGTCATGTTTAGTTACGTTAGAGAGACAGATACTTCCATGTTTTAGCTCCTGTTCTCCTTGCCAGCAGACCATGAGAATGCCTAATTATAATCACTCTATTCTGTCCTTCAGCCTCTGTCTCCTGTGGATCTTTTAGCTGCAATGAAGAGCCAGGATCTTCAGAGTTACATATTAAGACTTTAGAGTCATTAATGTTCTTTGCAGGAATGAGTCATCTCTTAATCATATAAAGCTTGTTAGCCAAAACTGATTCTAAAATTAGATCTCTCAAGGTTGTCATTAAAGGTTTATATGGCCTCCTGGCTTTTTTCAGGTGAGCAAAGCTATGAATGACTTGAATGGGATCCGCATATTCAGTAGAGCCGCACCCAAATAATTTCAGAATTTTGTAATTATTTTAGTTAGGCGGTGTGATCTGTTCACATTAGCATTCTTTGCCAAAGGGTCAGTGAAGTTTGCTTGCATTGCTTAAGCCTCGCAGAGACATTCCTAATGGAGATGTTAACAGCGGTAAATTATTTTGTTAACAACTAAATAAGCACTTTCAGCATTATCCTTTGTATTATACAAATGGATCTTTGTATTATGTAATGGACTTTAAGTTATTCCTTTTGCATGCCATCATCCACTCGGCTTTTCTGATTATTCAGAATACCCCCCTTATTGTTGCATACCCACTATTTGCACTACAGTTAAGAATTAGTAGCATTAATAGCATTGAACATTCTCTCCTCTTCTGTTTCCCTGAAGATCTATCCGTGGGTGGTTTCTTGAAGGTAATGCCAGCTAACGGAGCACATGGTGTACAGGACAATTTTTTAGGGAGGAAATTATTGTTACTCAAATCTGAATTCCAGTTACAATTTAGTAAATGTACTTCTAAATATGGGTTATAATTTTAAAATAATCCTGTCGAATGGTTTCTCTTGATTGGAATTCTCTTCGGGGTTTGTTGTGAGATCCTATCAGTACAGTTACTTCAGGGACTGGGAACATGCTGTAATGAGAAAGTTATTTCTTTTGATTTTGCCAAAAATGTTTTTTTAGCTGAGTCACTAAATCAACCTTGCCATTATTTGACTGCCAAGCTGCCTTCTGGTCTTTCCTTTGATCTTTGATTTTTTTCCATGTTATGAAGCCGATTCTTAGTCATTAGTTCTAATTAATAATGGCTGTATTAGTGTTGTTTTAATAGTAATGCATGTGGAACTGTAGAATCTTGCTAGGTGTAGGTTATGGGAGCTTACATACTCCTGCCTCTCCTCTAGGGGATGGAATATTATTTCTCAAAGTTGATGATGTCATTTTCAGAAAGTCAAAGCAACTGAGGTGGAGTTCTCTTGAGGCAGGCCATATTTATT